GCAGATTTCCTCACCAAGGGTATTTCCAAGGCAAGGCTTCAACATGACACTGGCAAGCTGGGCATGATTAACATCTATGCTCAGCTTGAGGGGGAGTGTAGAGGAGATGGGCTGAATGGCCCATAGGCTGTCATTCTATGTTGTGTTTATGTTTTCCTCTGTAATGGGCCTTATTCTGGGCCCATACTCTTATATACTCAGTTTTTGTAATTTCTTGCCCACCCAAGGGCCTCTCTGTAATAATTCGAAGATTAACTTAATAAAGTGTTTTAGAGTGTTAGAGGGAGGTTTAGTTCGAACCTCTCACTCTAACTCTCATTGCTGCCAGCTCTCTCTCTCTCTCATCTTCTTAATCTTCTCTTGTTTGTTTTCTGGTTTTGCATCTAATCTCAAGCAGTTCTATACTTCAAGAGTGCTGTTTTCAACTAATGCAAAGGTATAAAATTTGTTTTTGGGACATTAATAAATAGTGTTAAAACCTCTGTAGTTGGAAGACACCAACCCATTTTTCTATCATAAAGTCTTCTCAAACATAGTTCTTGTTTTCATTCCACTATGAGAATAAAACCAGCCTTCTCCTTTTCTGTGATTGTAACACGATACTACTGCTTTTGTTGTAAACAATAGGTATGGAGGTACCACAAATATCCATTCAAGATAATATACTGTTTTTTATTAGCTCTCTCTCTCTCTCTCTCTCTAACAAACAATTGAAAAACTTCAGAATAAACATCTGCTATCAATGGAAACCCCCTCTTCCCTCTTAGATAGCCTCTTTGGAATCCATAAAATTTTATCAACAATACACCAAGGATTTGGGGGGTTATAGGAAATCAAAGAACAATGTGGAGAAGCCATAGAAATAAATAAGAAATACAAAATATCCTAAGGCACTTCCCAAACAAAAATATACAGATGAGGAAGTCAATGAATGAATCTCAAATCAACAACATAGGGGGTGTTTGAAAACAAAATCAACTGCCACATCAGCAAAATTACATTAACTTTTCTGACAATGCAGTTGTTTTCGTTTTCAAAAACAAAACCAACCATGTTGCACCTCCATAGTAAGATCCCTACTAAACCTTTCAAAATGCATCACTTCAGGTTCTCCTAAACTTTCCTCTATCAAGTAACCTTGGGTTGTCAATTTGTTTGAAGGATTTGAACCCTAATATCTGTTGAATGAAATGATATTGAATTGAATCATATTGTGAATCATAGCATACATGGTAAGACCAATTCTGTTTTTTCAGAAATCTGTCAAAAATTTAAACATATATACTAAACACTTAAATATACAAGAAAATTGATTTTACCTCATTCTTAATCATCATCATCGTCCAAGCCTTATCCCAATTATATAGGGGTCTGCTACATAAATCTTGTTTTGCTAGTCCCCACTGTTTAATGCCATATCCATTGTTAAATTTATTGGCGCATAAATTATTTCTTACTACTTCTACCCATGTCCTTTTTTGGGTCTATCCTTTGCCCTTCTATCCCCTTCAACTTGTAACAAATCACTTCTTTTTATCTCATTCTTAATCCATATTTACAATTTTAGTACTGAAATTGACTTAAGTTAATTAACCCATAAAAATGGCTCTTTAACCTACACATGATGGAAAATAAACTTAATAAAGTTTCTAAATAGGTCTCTAGTAACTGAAATAAATATTATTCTGGTAAGGGTTTCTAACAAATCATCATCATTATAGAAGCCTTGTCCTAACTATATAGCCATATAAGTTGGCTACACAAATCCTGTTTCACCATTCCATTCTGTTTAGTGCCATATCCATTGTTAAATTATGAGCCCTTTAATCATTTTCTACTACTCCAACCATGTCCTTTGCGGTCCCTTCAAACTGTAAGGCTATAACAGATCACTTCTTATGAGTTCTGTAGATGGACTTTTTTGTATGTGACTAAACCATATTAGTCTACATACCCCCATTTTATCATCTAATGAGTCTACTCATAGGATCATTTGAGTGAATTTTTTTCTGATTCTGTCCTTACAAGTTTCCCCACTCATCCATCTCAGCTTTCCCATTTCTTTGACATTTATTTTTTGGACATGTTTTTTGACTGCCCAATACTTTGCTCCATACAGCAGGGCTGACCTTACAACTGTTTTATAAAATATCTTTCTAGCTTAAGTAATATTTGCCTATTACATGACTCCAGATGCTCCCCTTACCCATTCTTCTCTAATTCTATTGGTGGCACCTTCAATCTCTTTCTTGTTAGGGAGTATTGAACCAAGGTAACAGAAGAAGTTGCATTGAGTTATCTCTTTGTCTCCAATCCTAAGTATACCCCTGGTTTGTATTCTTCATATTATTAAATTTACATTGCATGTATTCTGTTTTAGTTCTACTTTTTTATCAAATGTTAGAATCCCGCTTATTTAAAATCTCTTGTTTCTAAGGTATTTGTCCATTAACCTAACTTTGCATTTAATCCTTGATTAGTTTCATCAATTAATGTTATGTCATCAGTAAACAACGAATTCCCTTGAAAAAAAAAATAAAAAGAAACAATGGAAAAATAGAGAATTAGGTCTCAATTGAATTTATTCAAATCACATGAATCAAATTCTAGGACTCAAACAATAATTATAAGGTTTTTTAAGAAATAATTTAGATGTAAGATTTGAATTGGAACCCTTCAGCTTAGTGATTTGAATTGTGACTTGTATTGTAAATTGTAATATTCTGACAGTTATTACCTGTGATCCGTACAAGACACTGCTTTTCATCCTTATCTTTCTCATTGATAAAGGGTAATGTCTGGTCGATTGTGTTCTTTGCTATGTAGCAAGGACCTTGGTTAACAGTGGCCATAACCAAAGGCTTTATAGATTTTCTGGAAATAATTGGTTGATCATTTTACATTCTTATTTTTATTATATTTATCATTTCTTTCTTCTACCATTGCGCTTGTAATCACTTAATATGCTTTCACTTTTGATGAAGACTGAATCTTCATATTTTCTTTGTAACATGTCAGGTGGCAGTGTTTTACTTCCATGATCAGTTTACCTGGTTGAAAGGGATTGGACTGCTTACAATCATGATTGGTGTGAGTTTATTCAACTGGTACAAGTAAGTTGTCAACAAATAATTTCAAGTTTTCCCCCTTTCAGAAGATGTTGTAGAATCCAAAGACATTTATAAATGGGGAACCAAAAGGTTACTTTAATGCTAGTTGGGGACTTAAGCAAGGGTGTCTTCTATCCCTTTTGCTGTTCACCCTAGTACTTGAGATCTTTAGTCAGTTCATTGAGAAGGCTAAAAGACTGGATATGGTTAAAGGATTTGAGGTGGGGAGAGATGCAGTCTGTACCTAGTATTTAGAGAACTGGACAGGACCAGCTGGTCTGACTACAAAAACTGTGAATCGACTCACCTGCCAATTCAGTCATGCCCTATTGAGGGTGATAAAAACCAGTCAAAATTGGCTAACTAATCGATCTAATTGGTGAACCGGTGAACTGATCCCAATTTCAAAAAATTGGATGATTTTTATTCATTTTTTAACTTATATCCTAACTTCTAGAGGTCATAGCTTTGTGATTGGTTGCCTGATTGGGTAATCTTTTTTTTTTTATTTTGGGCAACTTTTCACGATCTACGCATCCAAGGTACCCCACTATTTTTGCCAAAAAACGGACTTTTTAGCCTCAAATCTTAATTTTTATTATAAAAATATTGACTAAATAAAAAAATACATATATGCAGAACATAATTATATGTTTTGAATATATGTATATAGTTAATATTATTATGTTTATATTACATAATTGGCATGGTAATTATGCAATTATGTGTCAACTTACATTGCAATTATGATGATGCATCTGACTCTGTAGCATTTGAAAGTTAACACTTAAGTTCCCACCATTTGTCATGTGAATCTCAATTCTTGAAGGCTATCCAATCCTGGAAATTTTGAAACTTGTAAAGGCAATTTATTTTTTTGAATTTTATGGAGCTTATATGGTATCACTTTAGTTATGGAAGTCTTACTATGGTAAATAATTCATCATTGTAAAAAGAGCATGTAAAAAAATGATAGCACTATCTATTTAATTTCTTATATCACTTTGATATTTCTGGTTATTGTTCAACCATGTATTTGGTTGATATCTAGGAATAACTGCTGTCAAATTTGGGTTTGTTTGATTACTGTCAAATTTGGATATGGCACTAAACAGGATAGAATTGTAAAACTGGATTCATGCAGCCAACCCCATATAGTTGGGGTAAGGCTTAGATGATGATGGTGAAATTTGGGTTTATCTGATGTGTTTCTTTATGTTATTGCTCATTTACAGATACCAAAAGCTACAGAAGGGCCATACAAATGAAAATGATGAAGCAATGCTACTAAATTCTAATGCAGCTGCAAAATATGTTATCCTTGAGGAGATGGATGATGTAGATGATGAAATTTAGTAACTCTTTTCATCGTCTTGATCAAAGCTTGAAATTTAGGTAAGTCTCTTCCTAGCTAGTTCTTCAAATGAATATCCTGGTGAGTTGTTGAAGCTAAATGCTGAATTTGGTTCTTTTAGTTCTTTCACTTGAAAATATGCCCATCTAGATCTCTGCCAATAATGAATAATTCTATTGCACTCGACACATTTATCATATATATTCCACATAGGATGCACACCATAAGTTTGTGTTCATATTTTTACAAAGAATTGATTTTCTTATAGTAAAAGATTAATTAAAGAAAAATATATATATACACACACACACACACACACACATAAATGCTTTTCAACCCATCAAAAAATAGAAGGTAAAACAAACAGTAATAGGAGCAAAGAGAAGAATGAAAAATAAATAAATAAAACAAGCCACATCTTTTCTACCTTTCAACACCTAGGTCCTATACAATATAATTTGAACTCAGTTCAAACAAGGGTGTGTTCTCTTGAGTCACACACTCTAAAATGTTATCTTATATATGTTTTATGTGTTATGTATCTTGGTGGAGGCTTCATATAGACAGTTTCCTTGAGATCCCCATGTATGGATGCATCCCAATTTTTAGATGTAGAGATAGCCCACAATAGACAAATTGTAGTCATTTTAGCTACAGGAGCAAACATCTCCTTGTAATTTATGCCATACTCCTGCTTATATCCTTGTGCCACCAAATGAACCTTATATCTATCAAGGCTCCCATCAGAATTAAGTTTCACTGAATACACCCATTTTCTTCCAATAAGAGAGGCATCTAGAGGGGCGGGAACCATGCCCCATGTGTCATTATCAATAAGAGCTTGGAGCTCAATATCAATAGCTTCTTTCCAATGTGGAACAGCTATAGCCTTCTGGTGTGATGTGGGAGTATCTATGGTAGAAAAAACAGCAGAGAAGGAGCTATGGTTTGAGGGAAAACCATAGCAACCAAGAGGGCAAGAAATACGAGAGGAACAGCGTAAGGGGGGATTAGAGGATGGTGGGGGATCAAGAACAAGTGCAGGTGTACTTATGGGATCAGGAGGAGAGGAACTTGTGGATGGAGAAGGTGGACCAGCTTCTAGTGGTGAGGAGGGTGGAGCTATAGGATTTGGAGCAGCTAGCCTCTTCCTAAAAAAGACACAGAGTAATTATGGAATAGAAGGAGCTGAATTTGAAGAGCCTGCAAAGTCAAAGAATGAGGCACCGAAATGGAAGTAGTAGGTAGTTTAGCAATGCGAGCAAAAAAAGAAATATTTTCCAAGGAAAATGACATTACAGGATACAAGAACCCGATGAGACTGAGGGTCATAGTAGAGGAAATCCTTATGGTCAGGGCTATATCCCACAAATGCACACATTGCTGATTGTGGAGTGAGCTTTGTGCTCTCGTGGGGTGGAAGATGAACAAAACACAACCAAAAACATGAACAAAGAAGTCAGGTGAACGATGAAACAGGTTTTGAAAAGGAGAGGTATTATGTAAAACAGATGAAGAAAGAAGGTTAATAAGGTACAAAGCAGTGTTGGCCGCCTCCACCCAGAAGGAAGTAGGAGCATGTGACTCATGAAGTAGGGTCCGTACAATGCTCAAAATGTGTATGTTCTTGCGTTCTGCCACTCCACTTTGTTGTGGAGTGCCAGGACAAGATCTCTGTGACTGAATTCCACCATCTCTCAAGAAGGTTTAAAAATATCCATCAAAGTATTCACCCCTTGAGTCTGAACAAAGAACCCCAATATTAGAATCAAGCTGATTTTTTATCTTGGCTAAGAAAGATTTAAAGGTGGGAAAAACATCAGATTTGTTTCTCAAAAAAATATATCCAAGTAAAGCCAGTACAGTCATCAATAAAAGTAACAAAATATTTATATCCCAATCACTATGTACTAATTTAAAAGGAACAAATGCATACTCAGTAGTAAAAGGAAAAGGTATTACATGGTTCTTACTCAAGCAACAAGAAATGCATACTTTATTAACATTAATAAAAGAAGTAACTTTAGAAGACAAAAGACCATCACGAAATAACGACTCTAGTTTATTTTCCTAGGAATGACCAAGTCGCCTATACCACAAATGCCATAAATTAATTTTGCAAACAACTTCAGAACTGGGCGTAGTAGTAAGTAAACAAGATGTGGAAGAAGGCTCCAGTGTCCTTTCGAATTCCAAGGCAAATAGTCGACCCAATCTCCACCCCTTCCCCTTCACCGTCCTAGTGCGTCGGTCCTGTATCAAATAGCCATCATGGGAAAATGAAACAACCTTACCATCCTCAACTAATTGGCCAACTGAAATCAGGTTTTTTGTAAGTTTAGGATCAAATAAAGTCTTAGGAAGATGAAAACAAGAATTAACAGATGTAGATGAAGACAAATCATTACATCTAACAATATCCATTTTTTCACTGTTAGTAGTAACAATATGTTTATTCAAGGATTTGGATTTGACAAACTAACTAATATATGTCCCTATCATAAGATTAGAGGCACTGGAATTAGTGACCTATAGGTGACTAGGAGAGGAACAATAATAGGATGACTCACCAGAGAAGTCGATGGCTGAAAGCGCAAAGGAAATGGCTGAGGATACTGAAGTAGTTGTATTCTCTTTATCTACACCTTCCATTGTTGTCTGGAAGGCCTTATGTTGGTTCTTCTTAGGACTTGAACTATTTTCCTTAGTTGGTCGAGTGGGAAATTCAGGTATTATATGTCCTTTTTGCTTACAATAAGTGCAGAAAATTTTCTTTTGACAGTGTGAGATGACATGCCCATACTCCTTGCATTCATAGCACTGTACTCAAGACAAGTCCTTCTTGGGCTTGGACTTGTTCACTAGAAAATCTGCCTCTAATCCAGAATCAGGTTTCGAACCCATAGTGAATTGTGTTGTTTTCTTGGTGCTGAGATGGTGTGATTCCAGAATAGAGAGAAGAGAGAAAAGATAAAAGAGAAAAGAGAAACAGAATTGAGAGAGGCAAAAAGTCAACTGGCGGCGCCAGTTTATTTAGTATTTATACTAGGGTGACCATATAGAAAAAAAGAAAAGGGAAACTACAAAGGTGCCCTTGCGGCACTAAACTTAAAATAAACTAAGTTATTCAACACTCCCCCTCAAGTTGGGACGTAGATGTCAATCATGCCCAACTTGTCACATAAATCATCGTGCCATTAGTGATGTAAGCCTTTTGTAAATATATCTGTCAGTTGCTCTTTGGAACTCACATATGGGGTGCACACTTCCCCATTAACAATTTTCTCTCTAATGAAGTGTTTGTCAACCTCTATATGCCTAGTTCTATCATGAAGAACTGGGTTGGCTGCAATATTAATGGCAGCCTTGTTATCACAATACAAGGACATAGGGCCATCAACAGGAAAACCCAGTTCGCTCAACAGATTTTTTAGCCACATTACCTTCAGCCACCCCATGGGACATTGCTCTATATTCAGCTTCAGCACTAGACCTAGCCACCATATTTTGTTTCTTGCTTCTCCATGTGACTATATTTCCTCCCACAAAGGAACAATACCCACTAGTAGACTTTTTGTCATCAACTAATCCAGCCTAATCAGCATCTGTGTATACTTCAATCTTCAAATGACCATTCTTATGGTATAATAAACCAGCTCTAGGAAATCTCTTTAGGCATCTGAGTATTTTTTCCGCTGCTTCTAAGTGTGTGGTCTTAGGAGCATGCATGAACTGACTAAGAACACCTACTACATAAGCAATGTCTGGCCTGGTCATGGATAAATACAGGAGCCTTCCCACAAGTCTCTGGAATTGTTTTACATCTTTGACAACTTCACCACAACAGTCACCCAGTCTGTGATTTGGATCAATGGGAGAGTCGGTTGGCTTAACCCCTAGTTTTCCTGTATCCTGTAACAGATCTAGGATGTATTTCCTTTGAGAAATGAAGATCCCCTTTTGATAGCGGGCCACTTCAATTCCAAGGAAATATCAAAGGGGACCTAGATCCTTCACCTCAAATTAAGTGGCTAAGAAATCTTTGTCTCTAAATTTCAACCTTCCAGTCACCTGTTATCACTATGTCATCAACATACACTATCAAGGCTGCAATCTGTCTATTGTGAGGATTATTTAATTGTTATTTTACAGTTGTTGTTAGTGTGCTGTCAGCTTAAGATGCTATCAGCCAGTTAGTTTCTTTCTTTCTTATTAGTTTGTTACTAGGGAGTGCCACTAGGGGCATACTTGTAATCTCCCATTCCTTTAATATTAAGTTAATATAAATAACTAAACTGGCGGCAGCTAGAAGAGTTTTTTTGTGTCTCTCAATCATATCTTCCTCTTCTCCTCTTTTCCCTCTTCTCATCTCTTCTCTTCTCTTTCTCTCTCTCGTCTCTCTCTCTCCATGAATGATTACATGGTATCAGAGCATGATTACATGTGGCAACCTAAGATACTCAGGTTGCTGGTACTACCTGGGACCACCTTACTAATTCTGACCCCAAGGAAGATATAATGAATTCCTTCAGAGACCACTTGGAGTCATATAGTAGGGCTTTGCGACAGATGGATAGTTCAGTCACTGGTACTCCTACTTCATTTGCATCTACATCAGGTAATGCGGCTTCTGCATTCCATGTCACTACTACCA